CTAAAAAAATGCAGAAAACGAATCGAAAATGGATGTATCTTCTATGTGATCCAACTGGTGCATACGGGACCGAAAACAAACAAACATAAAAATATTCTGATTAACTGCTTGAGGGCACCATGGAGATGGAGGGAACTGTATAAATTATCGTTAGATGATATACTGATTCTTCTGTCAAAGATGGGATCGATTACCGAAAAGAAGCAAAGACGAACAATTAAAGACATCTTCATACGAATTTCAAAGAAGAAGTTTGCATTCAATATCAAGAAAAGGCTGATATTTAAGATTCCATTTGATGCATGCATTAATCTGAAGCAAGTGAGAAACACAACAACCGAGTCTATCTTGAAAAACGTAAGTAATAACACTTTGGCAAACGATTTGACAGCTCGGATGCGTGTGATGTTTAAAAAATCAAAGACAGTCGGGGAAATATTACACAATCACAGACCGGTGCTTACACAAGCACCGGACTGTAATTGTGCAGTATCCCGACTTCCAAAAATTGAGAACCACATTGCCTGCGGATTAAGTGAAATCACAGAAAATCAGCTCTTGTGGAATGCAAAAAACGTACCTCATTTAAACGAAAGAATTGGAAAGGAAGAAATTAAAAGGACAATCATCACTACCATTGCAAGTATACCACGACCACTAAGGAAGAAAATAAAAATTAAAATAGATGTCTCTACTTGCATCGAAAAGAAGAATGATATGAAGATTTTTCTTCACATATCAGAAATATGGGAATTAAAAAGAAGATTGACACAATATATTCTATCACCATTGGACATAAATCCTGGAGAAACTTATGTGGAATGCCGTAAAATCTGGTACGAGAAGACTCGAAAATTCTTTCCGGAATCGAATCACTACGAAATTATACAACAAACGGAATCTGAGATCACTAAATTGGTCAAAAATACGTATCATGGATGTGGGCTGAAGAAAATCGCAGAATGGAATGAACAGGGATCACACGTAAATGCGTATACAATTCCAAAAAACAAGAACGTAGGTTCACCCAGTCTCGCAGACCCGCATCTGGACCACGAAATGAAACTCGTGCCCACGAAGTTCGCAGCCCTTGGGCTACGGTATAGTGGGTTTCCGCGTCTGTGTCAAGGTGTTGCATTTTTGGCGGCAGGCGACCAGGACGCAAAGTGGGTTCTTAGGGGGCAAAAAAAATTGGGGGACTGATCCTTGCCGAAATTGCGGACTACCTACAACTAGCTCTGGTAGAACCGGAACTTTTGGAAAAACGAAGGACCGGTACTCGGGTGGAAGTGGACCCCAAAAAGAAGTGGGGGGCATTGGACCGGTCCTCGGGTAGAAGAGGAACCCCAAAAAGAAGTGAGGGCCCCCAGAACGAAGTGAGGGCATGTGAACTACAAAGGGCCCTCAGGCCCAGGCGTTGAGCCCCGTCTTCTCAAAACAGGGAGGTCAGACACAACGAAACAGGCGTTTTGCTAGAGGCAACTTTGACGATTTTCTGTGCTCAGACGAATATGCACAAAAATTTGAAATTTTGAGAATCCATAGGTGAGGCCGTGTTCTTTCCATAAATAATAATAGAACATTTACAAAAAATCATTTAGACTGTGAAATAATCGTCGTGCCAATTCAGCACATTTTCCATTGTTGCCACTCAACCATGCCTGGCCAACTAAAAAAGTACTCCAAATTTAGTGAGTTTTCGCGGTAGAAGAATGCGTGAAAAAACCTGAAAATTCGAGTACTCGTAGATTCTGTTGTGATTTTTCCAGGAAAAATGCTGCATAAATTTTGAAAAATCATTCCAACTGCGAAATAGATTGCGGCGGCAATTTGACCCATATTTCAATTTTGCCATTCAGCCTCTCTCTCTCTCTCTCTCTCTCTCTCTCTTATCAACAAATGGATTAAAACTCTCTCTCTCTCTCTCTCTCTCTCTCTCTTATCAACAAATGGATTAAAACTCTCTCTCTCTCTCTCTCTCTCTCTCTTATCAACAAATGGATTAAAACTCTCTCTCTCTCTCTCTCTCTCTCTGTCTCTCTCTCTCTCTCTCTGTCTCTTATACACATCTAGATGTGTATAAGAGACAGACATAATACAAAACCCACTAAAAATGTTTCAAAAAATAATAAAATTGTTTAGACCTCGAACTAAAGTGAAAACAAAAAGTAAAAAGTGAAAAAATACGTTGGCGAGCACGTTTTGACACCGCCATGTAGCGATTTGTAATTCTTATTTGGC